ATGGTGGTTGACCGCTTTTCCAAGATGGATTAATTTGTTCTGCTCAAAAAATTGCCATCCTTACAAGACTTGGTTATTTTTATACGAGAAATTGTCTGACTACATGGCATTCCTCAAAATATTGTGTCTCGCTTTTGGAGGACTTTCAATAAACAGTTGGGCATTGAATTGTCATTTTCTTCTTCTTACCATCCCCAAACCAATTGCATGGCTGAGAGGGCTAACCAGTCATTGGAATTGTATTTGCGTCGTTTTGTTAATGGCACACAAGATAACTGGTCCGAACTACTGCCCTGGGCTGAGTTTTCTAGGAACAATGCTACCCATGACTCTTCTGGACATAGTCCATTCTTTGTTAATAACGGTCGTCCTCCTACTGTTCTACAGGCTGTTTTCTCTGACACAGCTATCCCTGCTCTGGATGATCACCTCACTTCTATTCGTATCATTCGAAGAAATAATCCTGTTTTCTTATTCTCGGGTTCTTTCTGCCCCATTAACGTATTCCTGACACATTTCATGTTTCTTTGCTCAAACCACTTATTTGCAATAGGTATACTGTCCCAAGTGTTCCACCTCCCCCGTTGGTTGTTTCTGGACAGGAAGAGTATGAAGTCTTTTCTTCGATTCCAGGTTCTCTCGTGGTTCATTACAGTATTTGGTTGATTGGAAGGGTTAACTGCCTGCCGAACGTTCTTCGGTTCCGGCCTCCAATATTCATGCTGGTTGCAAGATTTGTTATTTCCACACCAAGTTTCCCCTCAAGCCGGGTCATGCCCGCCTGGTGGACGGTCTTCAGGTGGGAGGTAATGTTACATATTCATCCTCACCTTGTGATATCTGCGCTCAGCGGCCATGCTTCAGTGTACCTAATTCCTGCAACATGTTGATGGGCGCCAGCCTCTGCGGATCCACGTTAAATTATAGCCCCACATCCGCCCACGGTGATGACAATGTCAGCATGCGTATTACGTCACACGGGAGACGTGCGTGCACATTCTGGGGTCAAAAGCCGATTTCGGCCAATCAGATTTGTAAAAGGCTTATTTCAACGCATCTTTACTTCTCCTCTTTGCCCTGTCGTGGTTCCCTTAGTGGTTGTCCGAGAGTGTGTTCCTGAGCGTTTATTTCTGATTATTGACTTTGGCTTTGCTTGAATTCCCTGTATTCTGGTATTCCTGACTTTTGGCTTTCCCTCATCGTTGTGTCTCATTCTGTGTCCACGACCTCGGTAATATGTTAACTTTTAGTCCTAGGATGTTCTACGTGCTGGACGAATTAGTAATCCTGACAGTATCTCACTGTCCTTTTATTTAGGCTTCTATAGTGGATTAGCACGAAGCTCGCACATGCATGATACACCCAACTTGGACAACCAAAGTGACTAAAGCATATAATTTCTCTCGGGGCAATCAAAAAAATATTGCTTCTGAATTAATTTCAATGCCCAAAAAATAAATCATCGTACATTGGCCAACCATCTTGTCCTCTGCAACCAACATACCAAAATACATAGCAACAGAATGAAAAAGCATTAAGCAACACCAAACACTCATCAGAAAATGCCAAACCCACAAAAAGAAAATCATCTAAAAAGTGCAGCAGTGAGTAGAGTTGAGCGAACCCAAATCACAAAGTTCGGGTTCATACCGAACATTGCGGTTTTTGGACTTCGGACCCAAACACGGACATTTCAGTGTATGTTCGGGTTGGAGTTCGGTGTTCGGCGATTTAATGGCGCTGTTTGAAAGGCTGCAGGGCAGCCAATCAACAAGTGTTTGACTCGTGTGCCCTTAGAAGCCATCACAGCCATGCCTATTAATGGCATGGCTGTAATCGGCCAGTGCAGCATGTGACCCAGCCTCTATATATAAGATGGAGTCACGCAGCGCCGCACGTCACATGAGCTCTTATTAGTGTAGGGAGAGGGTGCTGCAGCTGTGAGGGACAGATTAGGAAAGAATTCTGGTGTTAAATCTGCAAACTACAGCGATTATTCAAACTACAGCGATTATTTTAGTGGGTCCTATACTACTACATTTTTGTACCCTGCCCTGAGCCCAGTGCCACAGAGAGTGCGTGCACTTGCAACTGCATGTGTTCCAGGCATATGACTTTAATCCTGTTCTGGTAGCTCAGTGGGTAACATCTAGGCATTTTTAAATATTGCAATTTTTTGGGTGCTAAATAGTACATTTGCGTTCTGCATTTCTTGCAGTCTAATAAAACCCTTAAATACTACTTTTACATTGTTGGTTTAAAAATTCACACTTTTCTGTGTTAAATAGTACATTTGCGTCCTGCGGTGCATTTAAAATCTGAGAGTCAAATATAACAGTCAAATACTGTGCATACAGTGCACTTTGAAAAATTCTAATAGTTTTGGGTGTGAAATAGCACATTTGTGTCCTGCGGTGCACTTCATATTTGAGAGTCAAATAGAACCGTCAAATACTGTGCTTACAGCGCACTTTAAAAAATTCAAATTGTTTTGGGTGCTAATGCTAAATGGTATATTTGCGTCCTGCAGTGCACTTCATATCTGAGAGTCAAATAGAACTGTTAAATACTGTGCTTACAGCGCACTTTGAAAAATTAAAATAGTTTTGGGTGCTAATGCTAAATAGTACATTTGCTTCCTGCGGTGCACTACATTTCTGAGAGTCAAATAGAACCGTCAAATACTGTGCTTACAGCGCACTTTGAAAAATTAAAATTGTTTTGGGTGCTAATGCTAAATAGTATATTTGCGTCCTGCAGTGCACTTCATATCTGAGAGTCAAATAGAACCGTCAAATACTGTGCTTACAGCGCACTTTTAAAAATTCGAATTGTTTTGGGTGCTAAATAGTGCATTTGCGGCCAGCACTTCATATCTGACAGTCAAATAGAACCGTCAAACACTGTGCTCGGGTGCTCGGGTCCGGCATGTTGCTGACAGAATGGATTGATTATTGGGAGGGGCTGGGGATGACCCAGCGGTCATGGTCCATGTTGGTACCAATGACAAAGTAAGAGGAAGATGGAAGGTCCTAAAGAATGATTTCAGGGAATTAGGTAGCAAACTTAAGAAAAGGACCTCCAAGGTGGTATTCTCTGAGATATTACCTGTGCCACGCGCTACAGTGGAAAGGCAGCGGGAGATTAGAGAGGTCAATGCGTGGCTTAAGTCTTGGTGCAGGAAGGAGGGTTTTGGGTTTTAGAGCACTGGGCCGACTTTGCGATTGGGTACAACCTTTATAGTGGTGATGGATTGCACCTAAACGGGAGAGGGTCTGCAGTGCTGGGGGATAGGATGGCTAGAAGGTTGGAGGAGATTTTAAACTAGTAGTAGGGGGGGAGGGTCATAGCAATCTGAAAAATTGAGATAGGACAGAAAGGAGATGGGCTTCAGCACAGTATAAAGGGGGTGGAGACGGGGGGAGGGGCAAGCTCAGAACAGAGAAGCTGTGTAATGTTGAAAATTCACAAAATATACAAGTGACACATAATATTAAATGTATGCTTACTAATGCAAGGAGCCTAAATAACAAAATGGGGGAACTAGAGGCATTAGCATACACTAAACAATATGATATAATAGGCATAACTGAAACATGGTGGGATGAGACACATGACTGGGCAGCTAACTTAAATGGGTACATGTTATTTAGGAAGGATAGGAAAAACAAGAAGGGTGGTGGGGTATGTTTGTATGTCAACCATGATTTAAAGCCAAATGTTAAGCAAATGGAATGCGAGGAGGATAATGTGGAAGCTTTATGGGTAAATATCTGCTTGGGGGAAAAGAAGGGAAACCAACTATTGGTTGGGATATGTTATAAACCACCTAATGTTAATATTGAAGAGGAACAACAGCTGTTTGAGCAAATTGAGAAAGCTGCAAATCTGGGTAACACTTTAATTATTGGAGATTTTAATTACCCAGATATAAATTGGGACAGAGGGACTAGTACCTCAGCAAAGGGAATTAGGTTTTTAAACTTGTTAAACGACACCTTCATGTCACAACTTGTACAAGCACCAACTAGAATGGACGCTTGTCTGGACCTGGTTTTAACAAGCAACGTTGATCTTTTGACCAACATTCAAGTAGGTGAGCACTTGGGAAATAGTGATCACAATATAGTGTCCTTTGAAATAAACTAAAAAATAAAACAAAAGCACATGGGAAATACTAAAACATATAATTTTAAAAAGGCCAATTTCAATAAGTTAAGGGAAGCTTTGCAATATATTGACTGGCATAAATTCTTTAGTGAAAAGAACACTGAGGATAAATGGATCATCTTCCAACAAATATTACAAAGGTACATTTCTCAGTATGTACCATTGGGAAATAAATATTAAAGAAACAAATTAAAACCAATGTGGCTTAGTAGAGAAGTAAAACAAGAGATTACAACTAAGAAAAGGGCATTTAAAGCATTTAAATCTGACAAATCAGATGCATCTTATAAAAGATATAAGGAAGCAAATAATGTGTGTAAAAAGGCAATTAGACTTGCTAAACTTCAAAATGAAGAAATGATAGCTGAAGAGAGCAAAACCAACCCCAAAGCATTTCTTAAGTACATAAATTCTAAAAAAAAAAGTGTAGGTACACTAAAAACTGAAACGGGGGTGTTAGTTAATGAAGACCAGGAAAAGGCAGGAATTTTAAATAACTATTTCTCCTCCATATATATTAAGGAAGAACCCATGGCAATAGATGTGCAAATGATTGCTACTAAAAACTTGCAGAATAATTGTAATTGGTTAACTCAAGACAAGGTGCTGCAGCAACTAAAGAAAGTTAATATAAACAAAGCTCCAGGGCCTGACGGTATCCATCCACGTGTACTTAAGGAACTAAGTGTAGAAATAAGTGAACCTCTGTTTTTAATCTTTCAAGATTCTTTTCTTTCAGGAAGTGTTCCGGAGGATTGGAGGAAGGCAGATGTGGTTCCTATATTCAAAAAGGGTTCAAAATCCTTGCCTGGAAATTATAGACCTGTGAGCTTAACTTCTGTGGCTGGTAAAATATTTGAAAGTTTATTAAGGGATAATATTCAAGAATTACTTGAGAAGAACATGGTTATCAGCAAAAATCAGCATGGTTTTATGAAGCACAGGTCATGTCAAACTAACTTGATTGCGTTCTACGAAGAAGTAAGTAGAAGTATAGATCAGGGTGTTGCAGTGGATGTGATCTATTTGGATTTTGCCAAGGCATTTGATACAGTTCCACACAATAGATTAGTGTTCAAACTCATGGAAATCGGTCTAGATGAAAATGCTTGTTCTTGGGTAGAACATTGGCTTAAAAACAGAGTACAAAGAGTTGTCATTAATGGTAAATGTTCAAGCTGGACAGAGGTGGCAAGTGGTGTCCCTCAGGGGTCTGTTCTGGGACCCCTTCTATTTAACATGTTTATAAATGATCTTGAAGACAGCATTGAAAGTCATGTTTCAGTGTTTGCAGATGACACAAAACTTTGTAAAATAATACAATGTGAGCAAGATATTACTTTGCTGCAGAGGGATTTAGATAGACTGGGGGACTTGGCACTCAAATGGCAGATGAAATTTAATGTTGAAAAATGCAAAGTTATGCACTTCGGCGTAAAGAATACACATGCAACGTATACCCTTAATGGAAGCGAATTAGGGATAACAACACACGAAAAGGACTTGGGAATTGTTATAGACCACAAACTATGCAACAATGTGCAATGTCAATCAGCAGTGGCCAAGGCCAGTAAGGTATTGTCATGCATGAAAAAGGGCATTCATTCTAGGGACAAGAATATCATTTTGCCTCTTTATAAATCACTGGTAAGACCCCATATTGAATATGCTGTGCAATTTTGGGCACCTGTTCTAAACAAGGATATTATGGCACTAGAAAAAGTGCAAAGGCGGGCTACAAAATTAATAAAAGGAGAGAGGCTAGCAGGGCAACGGAGCGGTCACACTTCTGTGAGCTCCGATACAAACTTAATCTAACGAACCCTTTACATGGTGGAATTTGACCCAACAAATATCATAAACTTAACCAGACTACACCGCAGACCATGGGCCGAAAATCCAAGAAGGCAAAGGCGGAAAAAGGCACTCACGGCAGAGATATAGGTGATATGCTGCGGAACACACAACAGGCCGCATGGTCCAAGATGGCGCTGGCGGATGACCTCTCTTCCTATTCCTCAGAGGAATTCACCACAGACCTAATGGAGGGAGCGTCCTTCGGACACACGGCAGACCGCACCACCGCACCTAAAACAACCGGAGACCCGGTCACAGCAGACCAACTCAAGAGTATGCTGGCGGAGTTGCGCAAAGACCTAGCGGCAGACATGGCCTACTATAAAGAGGCCATAGAAGGAGCACAGACCAAAATTACTCAACTGGAGGCCTGCTCGAGCACCCAAGCCTCCAGATTAGACAAAGTGGAACAACAAATGGCGGACCTGACGAAACAGCAGAATGCCACCACTGAACGGCTAGATGCTCTTGAAGATCAACGGAGGAGATACAATTTAAAAATTCGAGGGATACCTGACTCGGTTGACCTCTCGGAACTACCCCACTATATCAGGCGGTTCATGAGTGTCCTGCTTCCACCAAAACAAGCGAAATCCCTGAGAATTGATGGGATGTTCCGACTACCTAAACCGGCTCGAGCTCCAACAGCCGCACCAGCGGACCTAATACTGCGATTCCAGTCCATATCGGACAAAGCCGCTCTACTAGCCGCACTGAGAGGCAAGACTCCTCTGCCGTTTGAGGGCACAGCACTCACAATCTTTCCTGACATCACCAGAAGCACCCTTACCTGGCGAAAATCACTGCAGCCACTCCTACAGCACCTCCGCGCCAAAGAGATTACCTACCGGTGGGGAACCCCGCGAGCGGTAATGTTCACCCACAACGGGATATCTCACAAGGCACAGAGCTTCCAGGAATTGGAGTCACTTCTTATATCCACAGGCATACTCCAAGCGGCACCAACGAGAGGCACAGGTCTGACCCAGCTCAACCCTGCTAACATTCGGGAGTTCACCCCAATGGAGCCGCGGAGAGCATTGTCTGCCAGTCACCCTACCTGGGACGCTAAAGACAGCCCAACCCATGGGGACACTGCTATTCCACCTCCGACAATGAACATAATCAGCACAGTTTGAGAGTGCTGCAAAATAGTTTATCTATGTAATTTCTTTCGCATTTCCTCGTTGACTGCCTCAGTTTTACTTTTACCTTTAATTTAGTGTAACCTCTGAATAGAGAGCTTGGTCTGCTTTAGGCTTCCACTGGCGGAGCCTACGTGGGAGCTAGCGGAGCTGGCCACACACAACCGACCGTCCATACAGACGAGCATAACAAGCTCCTACACACGTAAGCCATTACACTAATGACCACAGCTTGGCTTTCATAAACCACACTAGAGTAACATATCCACACACACCCCAGCCGCCTTCCCTGCCGGTTCACGGTCGAACTATAAAGCATACACACACAGCTATCCGGCAAAGGAGGTCCCCCTATGTGTACGACACTCACTTAGAACCACACTTTGATAGCACTCCCACATAGGGTACAAGAGATGTTCACCAGTTATGTTTTTACTCTAGTAACCCATACCTTAAAATGTGCACTGTTCACTAACGACTAGCACTGTTTTGAAATGTTAATATCTACGCTGGTACATGCTGTCGTGGCTTTACCTGCTACTATGTATTCTTTGTGCACGATAAAATAAAGAATATATAAAAAAAAAGTCACAGAACCACCAATTAGAAACGGCTATGACAAGTGGAGATTTGCTCTGTGGTTTTAATGACCTCTTCAGTTGAAGGTACAATTTCTCAAACCCTTGTCATTAAATTTGCCTTCTATGTGTTAAAATTAATAAAAGGAATGGAACATATCGGCTATGAAGAAAGGTTAACAAATTTAAACCTATTTAGTTTAGAAAAACGTCGCCTGAGAGGGGATATGATAACATTATACAAATATATTCGGGGCCAATACAAACCATTGTGTGGAAATCTATTCACAAACCGGACTTTACATGGGACACGAGGCCATGCGTTTAGACTGGAAGAAAGAGGATTTTGTCTAAGGCAAAGGAAAGGTTTTTTTACTGTAAGAACAATCAGGGTGTGGAATTCTCTGCCTGAAGAAGTGGTTTTATCAGAGTCCATACAGATGTTCAAACGGCTACTAGATGCATACTTGCAATAACAGAATATTCAAGGATATAATCTTTCAGTGTAGGGTAATAACTGCTTGATCCAAGGATAAATCTGACTGCCATTCTGGGGTCAAGAAGGAATTTTTTTCCTAGCTTGTTGCAAAATTGTGCTTCAAACTGGGTTTTTTTGCCTTCTTTTGGATCAACAGCAAAAAACAAATGTGAGGTAGGCTGAACTTGATGGATGCAAGTCTCTTTTCAGCTATGTAACTATGTAACTATGTGCTTACAGCGCACTTTTAAAAATTAAAATTGTTTTGGGTGCTAAATAGTACATTTGCGTCCTGCGGTGCACTTCATATCTAAGAGTCAAATAGAACCGTCAAATACTGTGCTTACAGCGCACTTTGAAAAATTCTAATTGTTTTGGGTGCTAATGCTAAATAGTACATTTACGTCCTGTGGTGCACTTCATATCTGAGAGTCAAATAGAACCGTCAAATACTGTGCTTACAGCACACTTTGAAAAATTCAATTGTTTTGGGTGCTAATGCAAAATAGTACATTTGCAACCTGCGGTGCACTTCATATCTGAGAGTCAAATAGAACCGTCAAATACTGTGTTTACAGCACAGGTTGACCCATTCAAATTTTTGGGGTGATAAAAAGTAAATTTGGGGTGTGCACTTCATATCTGAGAGTCAAATAGAACCGTCAAATACCAATACAACAATATTGTAATTCGGGTGCAATATCCTCACAAGTCAAACTGAGAGGTCAGTTTATAACGAAAACTGTTGCCTGGATACAATTCTAAAACAATTCCCATATGTCCTTTGCAGAGTTTACATGCTGACAAACACAGGTGCCAACTGCTGTGGCTTTCTGCAGTGTGCAGACCGGCAAGGAGGGCAGGGTTGAGGAGTGGGTGGAAGATGTGGAGGATGATGAGGTCCTAGACCCCACAAGGAATCAAGGTCATGTGAGTGACGTGTGCAGTTTGGAGGAAGAGGCGCTGGTTGCACAGAGGCACCAGCACAGCATAAGAGGGAGCAGGGTGCAAAAGCGGAGCGGCCGTCCCCTAACGCTCATCGGCATGTATTAGCTCGAGAATTACCACAGTTATCCAAGTAACAGATGGAGCAATCAAAGGATTTATAATAGAGTTGAGCGAACCCGAACTGAAAAGTTCGGGTTCGTACCAGATTTAACGAGCCATTCGAAGTTTCACATTGAGGGCAGCAGTCCGGTGACCGGGACCCAGTATGCCTGATGTTGAAGTTAGGAGTCACAGTGTGGAATGGATTAGCAGGGTCTGGTGCAGGGTAAATGCACGCCCCCTGGTGTTGAGCACCAACGTGTGTGCGGCCACATACCAGGACCCTGATGCAGCTTCAGTAAAAAGCGTACTGGATACCAGAAGCCATCACCAGACTGATCCGCAACTTGGAACAGGATGTGACATCCACTGTAGCGGCTGTGCACGCTTTCGACATTCTCACCCTGCTGCTGCTCGCCTGTCTGTGCTGCAGCGTAACTGTGGAACTCCACCTTGCACATGCTGGAGAGACTGTGCGACCAGCAGCAGGCGATAGTGGAGTTTCAGCTGCAGCACGCACGGGTCAGTCGCTCTGCGGAACAGCACCACTTCACCACCAATGAGTGGGCCTCCATGCAAGACCTGTGTGCCATGTTGCACTGTTTCGAGTACTCCACCAACATGGCCAGTGCCGATGACGCCGTTCTTAGCCTTACTATCCCGCTTCTATGTCTCCTTGAAAAAACGCTTCGGGCGATGATGGAAGAGGATGTGGCACAGGAGGAAGATGAGGAGGAAGATGAGGAGGAAGATGAGGAGGAAGAGGGGTCATTTCCACAGTTATCAGGCCAGTCATTCACAAGTTGCTCGGAGGGTGGGCTCCTGCACCAGCATAGGCCAGGTACACAATTGTCCAGCATCTCCACACTGTCCCATGGAAGCGTTCAGCTGTCCATCTCCAAAACACTGGAGAGAAAGAGGAAGTACCCCCCTAGCCACCCTGGCCCTGAATG